TCTTTCACCGATTGAAAAAGACACCAGAATCCAGTCTGGGGCATTTTATCCCGCAAGCCTAAGCGAGGGATAAGCCAACGCCGACACGCGTTTGCCGGTTTAGTCTTTCACGATGTGAAAAGACACCAGATCCAGTTTGGCGAATTTTATCTCGAAGCTAAGCCCAGGGATACAGCCAACGCCTAACACTGCGTCTGCCTTAACCGTTTAGTCTTTCACCGATGAAAAAAAGACACCAAAGTATAATTCTGGAACGGACTTTTCATCCGAATCCTAAGTAGGATGAGTCAACGGCCTAATACCGTTGCCCGGTTTTAGTCTTTCACAATTTAAAAAAGACACAGAGTACAATTCTTGGGGGACTTCATCCCGAATCCTAAGTAGGATGAGTCAACGCGCTAATACGCGTTGCCGGATGCCATATTCCCGCTAAGAAAGGGCGAAGTCTATGTATTCAAAATCATAGCATTAAGTCTAAGAGAGAAGCAATGTCTCTTAGCACAACGTCTACATGTGAACGGGTTTTAATAATTCATATGCTGGCCCGATTCAAAGCTGTAATCGCGTAAAGCACTTTTTTTTTTTTGCAATCCGTTGATGGCGAGGTTTGGCCAAAAAATCCCAAAGTCTAGTGTCTAACACGCATGCCGGTAGTCTTTGACCGTAAAAAGGGACAAAAGGACCCCCCGCAATTCAACATTGCTGGCAGGTTGTGATTAATAACATCATAATCGTGTCTCACACGCACGGGGGATTTTATCCCAAGCCTAAGGCAGGGATAAAGTCAACGTCCTAACACGCGTGCGGGTTTTAGTCTTTTACCGATATGAAGGAAAACACCAGAATCGGTCTGGGAATTTTTATCCTGAAGTCCTAAGTAAGATAAGGTCAGCGCCTAACACGCGTTGCCGGTGTCTATTCTCGTAACAATGGGCAAGGTCTACGTATTCGATAATTCGTAGCATACGTTCTAAGGGGAATTCATTCCTTTAAGCACAACCTCCATGCGGAACGGCTTAAAACAATCCGCATGTAACCCGATCAAACGGTAATCCGGTAAGAGCCACGTCAAATCCGTTACAGGCGGCTTGAGGATTTGCCAAAAATCCTAGTTACGTCTGATACAGCGTGCACTTGTTTAGTCTTTTCACAGAGAAAGACAAGTCTACGTAATCAATATCGTATGAGAACTCAAAGGGTTAACTCTTTTAGCTTAACGTCACACTGTGGAACGGACTTAAACAATTCTGCAATGCTAGCCGACCAAACGGAGCCTCCCGGTAAAAGGGCTCATCAAACCGTGATGGCTGAGAATTTGCCAAAAAATTCTATAAAATGCGGTAGTCATTGACGCACCAGCTCCAGTAGTTGTCTCGTTGACTGGAGCATCCAACAACATTAAAATAAGATCTATACACGCAGATGAATCAGCTTTAACAGTTGGTCCTGCAGCTCCGACATTTGGGATCACCGTGCTCCAATACCTTAAGAGCTTAAACTGTGTATGCTCCAGCAAATGCACGAGTATAAACTGTGTTAATGGCGATCCGAAACCCTAGGTCAACGCCGGTCAACGCGTAACCCTAGGTCAACGCCAGTCAACGCGTAACCCTAGGTCAACGCTAGTCAACGCGTTGTGACAAAAAGTCAAAGTTTGACGTTCAAAACCTTAGAGTCAACGCTGGTCAACGCGTAACCCTAGGTCAACGTCACTCAACGCGTTGCGACAAAAAGTCAACATACGATGATCTGAAATCCTAAGTCAGCGCAATGTGACAAAGATAGTCAGTTCAAAGTCAATGACATGAGCCAAACTCAACTCACTGGTGGTAGACTCGAGACCCCGACGACGGCCAAGCGATAAACGCAGCACCGGAAGAACTTCGGCTATTCATCAAAGCATTGAATAGACCGAAAATCGAAGGAGTCAAGGGTTGAAGCTAACTACAGGTCCTTTACGCCGACTGAAGGCTGGACCAATCACATCCAAAGTATTCCACCCTCTTCTATAAAAGAAACGAGTCCGGAACGCTTTGGAGGGGGTATCTGTAGGCATCAAAAATTGCCTATAGGTCTCCGCGAACAGCTCAGTGTTAAAGAACGACGATGAACGTCACTATCCGGTTCACAGGAGTTCGATTGATGTCGGTGAACGCTTGAAGTGAATCGACGAACTACGTGAGCTAACAGAATTTCGGAATAACGAAGGTACGGGATAATCGGGAGCCCCGCGATGTTTACAAAAAAGAACAATACCCTTCGTGTCTCATTCATTATACAGATGATCCAACCATTGGGGCTGATAGAACTCCTTGTCGGCTTTCCAACGCACTTCGAATCACTCAAATCCGAGTTCGGACGAAGAATTTACAGCGGAAGCGGACGAATGCACCACAACGGAGTGTCTCGGCCAAAGCCGAGACACCCTAGGGTGTCTCGGATTTTGGGAGACACCCTAGGGTCTCTCCAACGCGGATTTGGGCCCTTTAGGTGGTTTTAACCGCTCCGTAACCCCTCAAGCCTATAAATACAAGCCTCAGGCCCTCATTTTTACAGATCTAGAATTCTTGTGCCTCGGCGAAGCCCTGCCGGATTGAAGACTTAAAGTGCACAGATTTCAGAGAGGAGGAGGAGAGATCGGATCGAGTTCTTCAACGCAAGAGATCGAAAGTCGTCAGATCTACATCACCCGGATCCAATCCTTAGAATTATCCCGTTGTTGTAATTCTAAGAAGAGCAATTATCTCGCTTTTGTCGAGATAAGCGCTTCTGTTTCTAGATCTCCTCGCGGATCGGTGAAGCTCTGCCTAATTTTTTAGTAATCAGATCTGATCGACGGTGATCCACGGATAAACCCCGGCATAGGCAAAGATCACACGCAAGCAGAAGACCGATAAACGATCTCTGCATTTGTTTGATAAAGTTGTAAACTTTTTATTTTCATTGTGTAAGGAGATCTTATAAAAAGATCAACTTTTTATTTCATTCGAGTTTATTGTAACGACTAAAGTTGTAATAGATTCGATAACAATGGAAATAGCAACTTTCACCGCAAACAACGTTCACTCGTTCGACGAGGTTCGTCCTATTGACGTTCACTCGTTCGGCGAGGTTCGTCCTATTGATGATGTTCGTCTGATTTGTTGAGATGCGACCCTCGAGTTGCAAAGTAACGTATCCATTGATTGCCTCACCTTCAGGCGTTACTGCATGCAACAGTTACAACAGCATTTAGATCAATTGATGTTACAATCATAATTATCATTATGATTTGTAACAATCACATAGATTGTAGGTGACTCTTGAGATGGTCTTAGAGGCCTATAAATAGCACCCCTTGGGGTAGCTCTTGGACACACGAACATGAGAGCTCTTGTACACACGAAATATATTGAGCTGTTATGCTGCTAATGCAGAAACTGTGCTCGAAGGAACTTTCCCTAAAACTGAAAAGTTTTGAACCAAAAGGTTCTGAGATCGATGAGATCTTTGCCTTGACCGAAAGGTCTTATAGATCGAGGAGATCTTGACAGTACTAGGTTGGTGCACACCAAAGTACGGTACTGTTGCTCCTGCAAGCAGTTTGATCTTGGGATCGTTACACCGGAATAGGCCAAATATTGCTTTAAGCATAGCGTTTCACAAATACATAGCAGTTAATTTTAAAAAGTTTAAAATTACAGCATATTAATTTTTACTGTTTTATTCCAGATTTAACCACAATCTCCAACAGATACACCCCTTTCTGACCTGGCATCCAAGGCCATCTACCTCAACAATAGAGACTGGCAATGCCTCTTCCACTTCCTGATTAAAATTTGACTAAAGTTCAAATCAATTCGCAACCAACTCATCCACCAGTCACCTAAACCTAGTCTAGAGATGGCCATCACAGAGTTGCAAGCTGAGAAGACATGCCTTCACCTAACTACTCTTCCCATCAGCTCAAGCTTTATCCACGTAGCTTACCGCCCACCACCCCACCGTGGTCTCTCTCATTGACCACATCCCTTGCCAGCTAGATAACAACAATCAGACCCTAACTCTTCTCGCAAGCTGTGGTATGACTTTCACAAGCTCTGGGGACACTCTACGAAAAAGTGTCGTGCATGCCTATCCACATCAGCCTCAACTGCAACACCGACTACTTTGCCCTGGGCTACCATTGTGATATCCCATCCGCATTCATATCACCAACCTACATCGATCTTCTACAGGCACTACACACATCTGCCACATCATCTACTACAGGTCCAATCGCCACATCTTATGCCATCCACTTAGGTATAAAAGCCAACTCATGAATTTTAAATTCGTGTGCCACATATCATTTGACGTCCTAACAAGCACACCTCCACCGCCAAACATCTCTTCCTCCCATAACCACGCTCCCACGACCGATGGCACAACACTACCCTTGACCTCTGTCGGACAACTTCACATTCTCTCTCACTTCACAGTACCTAACGTACATTATGTCCCTAATGTCACAATGAACCTATTCTCTGTATTACTAATTACTTCACAAAACTATACTGCAACTTCACTCATCATCACTTTCTCACTGGCTCAATCTCACTTTTCTACGTGAATACATAGCTTCAACTAGCGGACCTATTCAATAAGGCTCAAATTATACAGTGATATTTGTTCCTTCTTGACAAACTACGATTAGTCAACTCAATTGCAGTCTGAGAGGGGTGTTAAATATTGTATTTACGAAGACTTGTTTAGTCCCACGTCTAGTAGAATAGCATAACATATTCCATTTATATTATATATATATAGACTACCATATCAATAAAGAAAGATATCCTCTTCTCACAATTTTCTCTCAATTTACTCCGCATTTATCATTTGTAGCCGGTTTTCCGTAAAATTTTTGTGGATGCTGCTCCATATGTATTGAATCAAACAATCCCTACATATGTTGTGCCAATTTGTTACTCCCCCAACCCATATAGAGTGTAAATTATGTGTTTTTTAATTTCTTATAACAGGTGCTATTAGAAAGTAGCAAGGACTCTGATATTATGGGTAATGCTATGCCGAGCCTTATATATGTCTCCAGAGAGAAGCGGCCAACATCTGCTCATCACTTTAAGGCTGGTGCCCTAAATGCTTTGGTCAGTATATTTATTTAACTTTATAGGTCAATTGCAAAAACACTCTATGTACTATGAGAAATAGCCACTTATAACTTTAAATTTATTTTATTAGCACATACACTGTTAGGTTCAGTAATATGTGCTAAAAACTTAACTTTTTGCCTTTAGATTAACTAAAAAAGATTTTTTGCCTTTAGATTAACTAAAAAAGATTATGTTTTTTCTATAAGATGAGGGCAGAAGCTAATGGTAAATTTCACAAAATCTCCCTTAAATTTGGTCACTTTTTTGATAAGCCTCCTAACTAGTTTAATAGTTACAACCCCCACCCCAAAAACAATAATAATAATAATAATAATAATAATAAAGAAAAAGAAAAGGAAGGCAAATTATTGCGACGATTTTTCCACATTAAAACCAACACGCATCCCCCCCGCACCCCGCGCCCGCCAAAAAAAAACCGAAACCCAAAAGAAAAAGGAAAAAGGAAAACTCAACTCATGCTACTCTACTAAATGTTTTGAAGATTGTTTTTTTGACTTCGTAAACTACATCTCTTAAACCTAACTTGTCATGTTTTAAGCACTAGTGTGCACCCCGTACAAAACGCAGCCTCCATTTTTCGTTCGTTTTAGGTCATTTGGTTGGCAGCAATTCATGTTATTGCTTTGGAGAATTATTGTGAAAATTTTTCAAAATGTTTACTAGAATAGAAGAAGTTTAGGGGATTTATATGGAAAGCCCTCAAAGGCAAGGGGTTTAATTTGTAACTATTAAGATAGTTAAGGGTTTATCAGGAATAATTTCCTTTTAAGTTGTAGAAAATGTAAGTGCTAATAAAACACTTCAAATGACATAAAATGACTGAACCCTGATGGTATGGGGGCGGTTCCGCAATTAATTAATCTGTTTTCGCCCTTTTAGTTCAAAAAATTACAGAATTGCTTAAATTGAATCTGATGTACAAACATATCTACATGTACAAATCAATATTACAAGACTAGAGTATCCAGTATACTGTCCAACGCGCCGGTCATCCTAACCCTGGACTGTGACATGAGCTCGTACGACCCGCAAACTCCCCGAAGAGCCCTCTGCTACATTTTGGACCCTGCAATCGCGCCCAAGCTCGCGTACGTGCAGTTTCCGCAGCGCTTCCAAGGGCTCAATAAGACTGACATCTACGGCAGTGAGATCAAGCGCTTGTACCGAATCAACCTACGAGGCCTTGATGGGCTCCTAGGCCCAAATTACATTGGAAGCGGATGCTTCTTCGTTCGACGCGCTCTCTATGGTCCACAATCACCTGGACCCGGCCCATTTCCTTCCGATCTGAAGGAGTTTTCGATGACCGATGCTAATCGGGGTTCAATGCGTTCTGAGTCCGTTCTCAAAAGGGCTCATGAAGTTACTGGTTGTAACTATGAACTTGACACAAAATGGGGAAGTGAGGTATTATATCAATCACAAATTTCCCTGAACAATACTATTTTTGTTAACAAGTGTTCATGTTTAATCATTTTTTTTCTCTTTCAGATTGGATTTAGATATGGGTCGTTATCAGAGGACCTTAACACGGGCTTTCGGATGCAATGTGAAGGCTGGGTATCGATATTCTGCGATCCAGAGAGGCCTGCATTTTTGGGCGATGCTCCAAAGAACCTGAACGATGCGCTGAGCCAGAACAAGAGATGGGTTGTGGGGCAACTGGAGTTCATCTTCTCCAAATATTCTCCGCTTACTTTTGGTATAAGAAAGGCTTCTCTACTAATGGGCATGGCCTACGCATGGTTCTTTTGGGGTTTTTTGTCTATTCCCTTGACAATGTATACTCTCCTACCTCAGCTAGCTCTCATCTACAATGTGCAGCTCTTCCCCAAGGTATGAATCCTTTAAATACAAAAATCTAAATACTATATATCCTGTGATAATAGATCATGACTTGCGGGAGTTAATTATATAATGACTCTTAAACAGAAGTTGAAATCCAAAATAACCCAAAAGTTTTTGGTACCCAAAAGTTTTTGGTATTTCCCTGACTTGCCATTTACGTTCATCAGTTTTAATGTTACAGTTTTCAAACGTGGAACTACACTAACGCATAATATCCCTGCAAGCTTCAGTTCTTTTATGAATATAGCTCGAACATCCACCGGAACCATGCGTTTTCGGCTGATTTTGTCAAATATCATCTCACTTCTATATGGGTAGAGGATTGGTTTGTTTCTATTTGTGGCCCAACAATCCCTACTTCCATATATATAGATGAATATGATACGATTTTTATTCTTTAGATAGTGTTCAGAAATGGAAATAATGGGTATGAGGCAACGACTCTTTTAAGAAAATTGCCTACTAAAAAATAGCCATGTGTTAAAGACCCACTCACATTAATGTCCTCACCATCTTATTTCTTGATAGCTTATTTTTCTAAATGAGCACTCGCAGCTATCAAACCCTTTAATAATTTGCAGCTTCATTCGTATCTGTAAAAAACAAATAAAATAATCAAAGAGACTAACCTATGGCAACTGTATTGTTGCAGCTGTCAGATCCATGGTTTTACTTGTACGCTTACCTATTCTTAACTGCATATTCCCAAGATCTCATCGAGTTTCTCGTGCACAACGGCACAATCCAAACATGGTGGAGTGACCAAAGAATGTGGATGATCAGGGGATTGACATCCTTCGCTTCTGGAACCATTCAATTCATTATGAACCAAACGGGGATATCTGCACCTGGCTTTACTCTCACAAACAAAGCGACGGAAGAAGGACAAAGCGAGCGATACGATAACGGGGTCTTTGAGTTTGGCGTATCCTCACCCTTCTTTGTATCACTCGGGACTGCGGCTATATTGAACTTGAGCTCCTTTATGTTTGGGCTGTTAATGGCAACGAGAAGAGACGGGTTTTTCTGTGAAATGTTTGTGCCCTTGTTTCTGTCGGCGTTTGGAGTGGCGAACTGCTGGCCGATCCTTGAGGCCATGTTTTTGAGAGAAGACGGAGGAAAGATGCCGAGAAATGTTACCAACGCGTCCATTTTGGTTGCAGGGGTCATTTGCATGTTCGGATATTTTGTGCTCGTAGACTGAGGTTCAATACAACTTTCTTCTTTGTGGGGGCAGCAACATGTTACATTCAAAAGTGATGAATTCATGAATTGATGGGATCCGCGTATTATTTAAGCACAATTTTCAGTGAGATTTCAGTCCCAAGAATAAATGACGTTATACTGTAATAGCTTTAGTTTGATTAGGGAGAGCTCGGACTTCTCTCTCTCTCTCTCTCTCTCTCTCTCTCTCTCTCTTGTGAATGGGTGGGGGCCACAACATTGGCCAAGCAAACCACGTGAAAATGAATTCACGTGAACGTGTGAAGAGGTGGTGAATTGTGGGTTCAAAGCAAAATCCAGCGGGTAAAAGAGGCCCACCCGAATATAGCCTATAAAAAGGACTTTTGTCCTATGGTTTCTTTGGTGCAAGTGCAGGAATTGAAGGGAAAAAGTACAGCGAAGAAAAAAAGAAGAAGGGCGGCTGATTCAAGTACACAGTGGGTTTGTGCGGCAGCTTGGGAGCAGTGCGAAGGCGGCTTTGGAGGAGTGCAAGGAACATATCGGCTTTTCTTTGTTTTTTGGCGGCTGTCTTTTGTTTTCAGAGAGATAATTATATGAGGGGTTTAAGAGATTGTGTGAGGGTTTAGATTGAGTGATTGTAAACCCTAGTTGTATCTCTCCTCTAATAGTAGATCTCCCCCCTCCTTGCCCCGTGGACGTAGGCAGTTTGCCGAACCACGTAAAATTGGTTGTTTGAGTTTGTGGCCATTGTAATAGTTTTTAGGATCCCTCGACGCGCAGTCCTAGAGCTGACGAGAGGAAGAGCAAATATCCCACTTTGATGGGATATTAGGCTTCAGATTCTTGTTCCCTTTGAGAAACAAGAATTCTTATCGATCTCTCTCTCTTATTGTGCACCAGAAACTATGCCAAAATTTCCGCTGCGCACAACAAGTGGTATCAGAGCCCAGATTTCAGATCTAGGGTTTGGTTGGAGGAGTAGATCAATTTGGAGGCCCGTTTAGGACTTCGTTGGTGATAAAGGTGAGATCTTTTGGTAAAGACTCTATCTTTCAGTTTTGGATCTATTCTTTGTTCGTTGGTGCGTAAGATGTCGGGGAAAGAAGGTGCTTCGGGAGTCGAGGGTGGTTCTTCTGGCGCGAAGACCATTCAGAGTTTGAATATCCACTCTATGAAGATAGATGTGGAGAAATTTAATGGCACAAACAACTTTGGATTATGGAGATGCGAGATTTTGTATGCGCTGAACACGCAGAATTTAGAGGATACCTTGGAGTTAGATGGCAAGCCAGATGAGATTGAAGAGAATGTTTGGAAGAAGATGAATCGAACGGCGTGTGGTGTGATTAGGTCTTGTTTGACTCAAGATCTAAAATATGATGTGATGAATGAGACTTCTGCGAAGAAGATTTGGGAGATTCTCGAAAGCAAGTATTTGACCAAGAGTGTGGAAAATCGCTTGCATTTGAAGAGGAGACTTTATCGTTTCCAGTTGAAGAAGGGAACCTCCATTAGAGATCACATGAACCACTACTTGAGTTCCTTGCCCGACGAGGAATATGAGACATTCGTTCTTACTCTGATTAATGGGAAGGCATCACTTTCGTATAGTGAGGTCACTGCTACACTTGTGAATTATCAGCTTCGAAAGAAGGATAATGAGGCTTCAGTTGAGCCGGTAGCAGAGGCGTTGGTCGCAAGAGGGAAGAATCCGAACCGAAAGAATTGGAAGTCACAGTCTAGAGTAGGAAAAGATCAGTGTGCTTGGTGCAAGGAGACTGGTCATTGGAAGAAAGACTGCCCAAAGCTCGACGAATGGATGAAGAATTAGCAGAAGGAAAAAGGGAAGCAACCATCATCAGAAGCAAATATCATATCGGATGGTAATAATTCTGACTCTTCTATTTATTCGCTTTCTATCAGTCCTACAGATAGCTATTCGGAGGAATCTGAATGGATGTTGGATAGTGGTGCGACCTGTCATGTGTGCCCTAGAAGGGAATGATTCTCCAGTTTTGAGAAGCTGGTGGATAGTGGTGTGGTGTACATGGCTGATAACCGTGCATGCCAGATCCTTAGGATATGAAGAATTCGTATAAAAATGTTTGACGGGACTGTTAGGGAGATAAATGATGTGAGATATGTTCCTTCTTTGTGGAAGAACTTGATCTCGATTGGAGCTTTGGTTTGAGAGGGTCTGAAGGTTCGTGTTGAGGACATGGTTCTCGAGATTGCGAGAGACTCTCGTATTTTGATGAAGGGCATCAGGAGAAATAACCTGTATTACTTGACTGGAGGTATAGTGGCAGGTGAAGAGCTGACGACTTCTGTTGATTCGATTAGACTGCGGCATTTGGGGCTTGGCCATTCCAGTATTGATTCCTCGCATAGATTGAAAGAGGGTGCAAAGACCTGCAGTTTGAAGTCCAGTGGACATGTTGATGTGAGCAAGAAGACCGAGGTGAAGTGTGGCACCTCTATTCACCGTGCTAAGGGTCGTTCTGGAGGAGTTCACGTGGATGTTTGGGGGCCTTCCAAGGGGGCATCATTGGGAGGTAATAGGCTTTTGATTTCCTTTGTTGGTGACTGTTCTAGGTGATACGGGTGTATCTTCTCTTCGGAACTTAGCGATCCTCATGGGAGCTTGAGGATAGATGATTCTCATACTAGCATGAGAATAAGGGGTGTCAAACAGTATCAGGGAACACAGGAGGAAGCGTGGAACAAGACGACGAGCAGAAGAATCGAAGTACCCAGTTTTCAGCCTGTGAGTTGACTCATGACTGTTATGAGTCGACTCATCAGGTTGAGTCGACTCATGACTGTCATGAGTCGACTCAACGTTGGTTATTGAGATTTCTCCAGTTTCTGTCGAGTCGACTCATCTCAGTCATGAGTCGACTCATCGCTGGTTATTGAGATTTCTCCAGTTTCTGTCGAGTCGACTCATCTCAGTCACGAGTCGACTCATCGAGGGTTTCCTGGTTCGTTTGGGATTCTGTTCACACGAATTCCTGTTGGTTTTGGGTCTGGTTATTTACCAAATTGCCATCCACGTTTGTACACCTATATAAGGGATTGTTTTAGGGTTTCTAAACAATCAGGGAGTTAAATCAAGAGAGATTAACTTGTAATTGAGATTTGGAGAGCTTGTTCTTCAATTCTAGAGTGAGATTGTGAGAGAGAGATTGTAATCTTTTGTTCTTCATAATCTAGAGAAGGTAATTTTCTAAGAGTTAAGGAAGGAGAATATGTTTGAAACAGATAACTCAACAAGACTTGATGCCATGGAGAAGCAGATCGGGACGATTGGTTCGACGCTCAGTCAGCTCGTGGGTCTCATTAACAAAGGGGACAAAAGAGAGGAATCTTCTTCGAAGGGTAAGAAGAAAATCATCGAGTCCGATGAAGAGAGCGAGAAGTCTGATTCGGACGGGGGAACCGAGGTTGTTAGGGCTGCTGGACATCAATGGGGTAAAAATAATTACCAAAATTTAAAGATAGATTTCAAGGTGGAGATTCCTGTCTATGATGGGAGTGTCAATATAGAAAAGCTCGATGATTGGATTGAGCGTATGGAGATGTACTTCACCCTCTACGGATATTCATCCAAGGAGAAGATTGTGTTCGCGACATTGAAGCTTTCAGGACACGCGTTGACGTGGTGGAAATCCTATTGCAAACAGGAGAAGAAGGCAGCATCGTGGAACAAATTCAAGTAGCTACTCAGGAAACAATTCTATCCGGTAGGGTTCCTTGAGGAGCGTTGGTACAAGTGGTACGGCTTGCACCAAAGATTCAATCAGACCGTTCAAGAGTACACGACGGAGTTCCAGCAGCAGGCGATGGTTCTAAACATCGCAACAAGCGAGTACTCCATCTTCATGAAGTACATGGCGGGACTGAATGATTATATCCGTAAAGTGATGAAGCTGTTCACGATCGAGACGATTGCAGAAGCGAGCGTGAAGGCAATTGCCATTGAGGGCAAACAGAAGAAGGGCAACGAAACGAAGGGTGACTCCAAACAATCGGGAAACAAGTCGAGTAGCTCTCAACATAAGGAAGAGAAGAAGAAGGGTGATTCAGGGAAGGCAGGATTGACATGCAATCACTGCAAGCAGACAGGGCACGTGGCTGATCGTTGCTGGGATAAGTACCCTCATCTGAAGCCGAAAGGGTTGAAGAAGAAGGAGGAGAAAAAGGCGTATGTGATAGCACAGGGTCCGAAAGAGGTTCCCGGGATGACAGAGCCCAACAACAACCTCAACCTTATGACAGGGAAACAGGCCACAAAAGAAGACAACGACCCGAGAGAGCAACTCTTTGTTCTGAAGTTGCAGGTCAAGACTAGCTTGGTGGATGCCATTGTAGACACAGGGAGTCAGAAGAACCTGATATCTGAAGCGTTGGTACAAAAGCTGGGATTGAAGACGGTGAGGCATCCGAAGCCCTATCCATTAGGGTGGATTCAGAAGGAAGCAGGATTGAGTGTGGTGAACCAGTGTACGTTCCGATTTGCACTCCAAGGAGTCCGAAGAGATCAAGAAGCAAGTTCAGGAGCTCTTGGAGACGGGAGTGATAGTGCCGAGTTGTTCACCTTGCGGGTCGCTGGTGTTATTGGTGCCCAAAAAGGATGGAGGTTGGCGCATGTGCGTGGATTACCGGGCGCTCAACAAGATAACTATCAAGAATCGTTACCCACTACCACGGATCGATGATCTTATGGACCAGTTAGAGGGAGCGAGGTTCTTCACGAAGTTGGATCTGAAGTCTGGCTATCATCAGGTAAGGATTCGGGAGGAAGACACTTGGAAGACGGCGTTCAAGACCAAACAGGGCCTGTTCGAGTGGTTGGTGATGCCGTTTGGATTATGCAATGCTCCGGCGACTTTTATGAGGCTCATGAATGATTTGTTGCGACCTTTCATAGAGGATTTTGTGATTGTGTACCTTGATGATATTTTGGTGTACAGCAGGACCTGGGAGGAGCATCTTGTTCACGTGGAGAAAGTATTTAGAGTGTTGCAGGATGGACAACTGAAGCTCAACGGGAAGAAGTGCGAGTTTGGGAAAGACGAGTTGGTGTATCTCGGCTTTATCGTGGGGAAGGGCCAGAGGAGGATAGATCCGGGTAAGGTAACGGTGATCACAAAGTGGC